ACCCGTTTAGATCACTAGTTTAATTGAAATGTGTAGGACTACATCACACAATTTTAAAGGTTTGTAAAGCAAGTTTTTGGCTGACAGACATTCTTTGTAGGTTAACTAACTTATTTTGGAAAGAAAAATAAAGTTCCAACTGCAGTCTAGTCTGAGGTAGTCTCTCAAGGGTGTTCCTATTACTATCGATAGATACTTGACCTAGCAGTGAAGCATGGAGGTTTGTACTTAGATCTGTCTAGACCTACCTCGTCTGCACTGCCTTCTGAGCTGTATTCCCAGGGCGAAGAGATATTCTATCTTTCCAGTAAGTGTGATCTATTTATATATAAGTGAGTAATTATTCTTAAAAGTGAGAAAATGGGACAGATTGTTTTATCTTCATTGCTGACTTTTTTTTTTCTCTGCTTAGCTTTTGTCTTCGTAATTTAGGGTGCGAGTGACTACAATTTTATCTAAACCCCTCATATGGATTTTTTTTTTTAAGATTTTATTTATTTATTTGACAGAGAGAGACACAGCGAGAGAGGGAACACAAGCAGGGGGAGTGGGAGAGGGAGAGGGAGAAACAGGCTTCCCGCCGAGCAGGGAGCCCAATGCGGGGCTCGATCCTAGGACCCTTAGATCATGACCTGAGCCGAAGGCAGACACTTAAGGAATGAGCCACCCAGGGGCCCCCCCATATGGATTTTAATGACCAAATTGTACACATATTCCATTTTAATTTAACCAGTTAAATTACAGTTATGTGTAACCCTGAAGCTTTCTTTAGAGGTAGCTATGCTGTAAAAGAAAAAAATGTGACTTGGGAGTCAAAGGAACTTTTATTTGTATCTCAGCTCAGAGACATACCCTTTTTGGGACCTGGGGACATAATTGTCTTGTGTTCAGCAGAGCCTCCAAATATATGAGACCTGCTGTCATCAGCTTATCCTCCATTGCCTTTCATAGTTTCAGTAGGAATAAGCTTAAGAGAGGTAGTTGGTTATGATAGTTCAGATAGTGGGTCTAAGAATTAGGTCTTGCCTGTGTCTTGTTTCTAAGTCTTATTTCTGCCAGAGTCTTGTTATGATAGTTTGGACAGTAGTTCAAAGAGCCAAGCATTGCCTGAGTCTTGTTTTCTGAGTCTTTTTTCTCAAGGTGATGAGACCTTGAGAAAATTACTTTAACCTTGCTAAGCTTCAGTTTCCTTCTTTCTAAAATCATAATAGTAATATCACCTAAAACATATGGTCTTGGTAGAATTAAATGAGACAATGCAGGTAAAGAAATTGACACAGTTGTGTAGTATAGAGTAAGCATGCAATATAATTTGATGGTAATAGTAATATTATCAAAATGATAAAGTAATTAACCTGTGTGTCTCCTGTACTTTTTTCCTCTTCTCTTCCACCCCTCCCTTTTTTCCCTCCTATTTTCCATCAAGAGAAAAGTCAAGGCAAGGGACTATAAAGCCAATATGAGAGGGTGGAAGACTTAGCAAGAGCAGCTCATTCAATCTCTACAATTTAGAGTTGGGAGTGAGAGACGCCCCTTAAACCTGATATTGAAAGACATTCTAAAACCTTTACCTTTTGAGAACCCCCTGAGCGCAACTGCATAGAAGAAATCTACTTTCATGAAGTCATTCCTGGTTAATGTCACTTCCTGACTAACCTCTTATTGACCCAACCCCATACATTGATGTATTCCTTTTTTGTGAGGTTGTATTTATCCATTCTCCACAATCTATACATTTCCCTACTTTGCAGCCCATTTTTGTTATGTATTTACCACTTATCAAAACATGATGTAGATCAATACTTTCAAGTACTTACTGATATTTCTCATATTTTGTAACTTTAAAAATCATTTAAACCATTTTGCTTTATTAAATGTAGAGCTCTGAGCAAAAACCAGAGAGAAAGCTGTGAACTGTGGGTAGATTGTCTGGATTCAAATCTAACTCCACCTCTACATGCTAGTTGCTTAGGCCAGTTACTTAACTGTTCTCTGCCTCAATTTTCTACTTGGTACAAACTCAGTGGATTTTCACCTGGATGATGGTTGCAAAAATTTAAAGGGAATGATTTAAAGAGAATGCCTCATATGTAGTAAATACTAAATGAGTGTTAAGTAATACTATTACTAGTATAAGACAGATTTTCAAGCATATGCATTCCTGTGAAAATAAGAAAAACACTTTTGAAACACTAGGGTTTTCTCACTACTTTTCAAAGGTGAAAGAATTTGCATATGTATGGTTTTGCAAAGAAGACAGTAAAGTTGAGTCTGACAGGATAGCAAGTATAAATGGAAAATAACTCCATATTATTACATAAAACGACCAGTCTAAAAGTAGGACAGAAATAACACTCTAAACTGGTGAAAATATCATAGAGAGTAGTTTCAGAAGTTCTGTGTATCCCTTTATCATAAATCAACGTATTTTAAACTGGAAATTGAAGAAGTAATTTGCTCAGCAACTTTTTAACTATTTAGAATTTTTTTCTCTAGTATTTACCTTCTATTTAATAAATACTATCTTTCTTTTATAATTACATTTAAAATCACAGATCTCAAATAGTTTTATTATCAACTAGTGTGTCCTCTGCTCTTGATGCTGAAACTATGTACCAAAAACAATTTTTCAAATGCTTAATTTGACAAAATTCTTCCTTAACATTGTCATTTTAGATAAGATTACTCTTCTAGGATTTTCATATAAGTCATATAAGATCATGTAAGTCAGTAAATCATGGCAGAATAGTAACAAATATCATATTTATTTTAGTTATTTTGTGGAACTAGATCAAAATTTTCATCTTGAAAATTATCAAATGGTATTTAGCAAACTCCTATCTTAAAGAAACTGTAGAAAATAAATAAAAAGAAAAAAATTTAAATTCTGTTAATAACTAACTTTCAAGAGTAATCATTGGTTTCATTTTAGTGTATTTTCTTCATTTCGATCTGCTGTTGCTGTTGATATAACATGTTATATGGTGGTTAAGAATACTAGCTGTGAGCAGAGAGGCTGAGTCTGGGGCCTCTCTACTTGTTAACTGTGTGACTTTGCTTAGTTACTTAACATCTATCAAACTTGGTTTCATCATTTGTAAAATGGGAACAAGAGTAGCGCTTTTATTAAACCATTATTGTGAGAATTATATAAATTAAGTAGTACATATGAAGTACCCATAAAGATATATAAAGGCTTATGCTGGACATACAGCTCTGTATAATCTATTTTTACACTTAGCATCATATTCACATGTGATTTCTCGTCTAACTGATTATTTTTCAAAACATGGTTCTTAGTGGTTTTATAAAACATCATTGCGATTTTACTCTATTTCCTTAGCTTGAACATTCAGCAGGTTTCCACTTTTTTAAAAAAATAAATCATGTATATAGCTTTTGTTCTTATCTCTGATTTGCTTAGGGCAAATTCCAGAAAGAAATTACTGGGTTAAAAAGAACATGGATATTTTTAAGGCTCTTTTGTGGTTTTGCAAAATTGTCCTTTATCTTCCCCCGAGTAGTGTGTGAAAGTGTTCATGCCTCTTTACCTTTGTTCACAGTGATTTTTTTTTAATTCATTTTATTTTGAAATCAAATGTGTCTTTCATATCTTGGTAACTGTTTTTATGACCACCTGTGTGCTATCTAAGATATGTCCCCTGAATGTTACCTCAGGCCAAAGACAAATATCAGTCTAATCCTCAGGCTCATGATGTATGCCCGTATCAACTCCATGATCCTAGTTACACTCTGCAGCCATCAGAGGATGCGAAAGTAATCAGCTGGTATTTACAAAGTGAAGGTTAGGAATCTGAGCTATGTTCCCCAAAGATTTATGAACTATAAAATGGCATTCTTATTATGTTCTGTCACTGCATTGTGCTCTTTAGCTGTCTTCCATTTTATGTGGTCAAGCTCCCTAGGATCCATTTGCATGAAAGCGACTGTGTGTACTCATTTTGTATTGTGTGGTGGCAAACGCTATAATCTACAGGGTTCCTATTCATTTTGGAATTCATTTCACAGCTCACTAATTGTGTGAATGAGAAGAGGAAATATATGCTTTTATTCTGAAGCATGCCAAGCAGATGGCCCAAAAGTCCATTGCTAGCATTACAGTTACTGTGGTCCTCTTCTGTAGGTTGTGAGCCTGGCATCGATCCGTCAGACACAAAGCAAGGGTCCATTTAACACAGCAGTTAACTGTCACTGAGCCTCTGGTTTGTTATGACTTATAAACATTTTGTTTTTTAACATCAACTTCTAAAGTGGTCAGTCATTTGAGCAGGTGCAAACAGTAGAATTCATATCCGTCTTATTGGAGAAGACAAAATGAACTTTTATTCATATGGAAATTTGGGGAAAAGAAAACAGTACAGGGGATTAAGCTTAGTTTCTTAAAATTACTACATGTATTGAGATTCAAAACTGTAGCATCATTTCTGAGATTGAACCTTTTGAAAAATTAAGTTGAAGAAAAGATCGAGGATTATAGCTAAGCTTTTTAGGTGAATCTCCTTTCAAATCTCTTTTGTTTTTCCTGTGCAAAGAAATTGTTTATTTACTTTTATATACAATATGTCATTTATGTAAACATTCAAAATGTTTCCAATTGCATTCATCCTATGTGTGTGCATATGTGTGTGTGTGTGTATGTGTGTGTAGTGAGACAATCAAACAGAGCTAGAGGGGGTGACAAAAAAATAAAATAATGAATGTCTTCACACATTGCCTACTTTAACGGAGATCCTAGGACAATATGAACCTGGGTTATTACCTCAGGAAAGGGAGGGTAGGTCAGGTGTTCTAAGGGAGCTGATGTAGTAATTTGATCACAGTATCTTATTTAAGAGCATCGGAAATACTGTTGTCTCCCTTATGTGAAGATAAAATGAGTATATATTTCTCTCACTCCTTCCTTCCCTCCCCTTTCATACCTCCTACCGTGGGTTTCACTTGTTGTATTGACTCCATATTTCCTTTTTCTCGGCTTTCAGACTGATGCTGCTCTAATGTATGATGCTGTGCACGTGGTGTCTGTGGGCGTCCAACAGTTTCCCCAGATGACAGTCAGCTCCTTACAGTGTAATAGACACAAACCCTGGCGCTTCGGGACCCGTTTTATGAGCCTAATTAAAGAGGTATGTCAGAAGAAGCACATCTGCCTAGTCTCTTTTGTCCTTAAGGTGAATGCATTGAGATTATTTCAGTTTTCCTAACAGGTGACCTTTTACCTTTATCTTTTGAATTAAACTTTCTGTCTTCCTCCATACAGGCAAAATTAACAATTTAACTAAATGATGTGGGACAAAAGGGGGAAAATTACATGACAAATAAATGGGTATCTTTCAAAATATCTATGATTGTGTAAACAGATGAAAATCTGTGACCTATGATTCATGACATTGTTAGTTTTCACCTTCCTGAATCTTTATGTGTATTACTTTTCATTTATGTGGAGATATAGTTTAAAGAATGTTCATATTTTAGGCAACAGTTTTTAACATGAATGCCATTTGCACTCCAATAAATCATATGTCTTAAAGAATTGTTATTTAGATCTATGGTTCCTAAATATAATGTCTAGTTATTTTAATTCTATTAGCAGTTAACATAAAACAGATACCTGGATTCACAAGAGTGCAAAGTTTACTTCATATTGTCTAATGCAATCATTCTTATGGCCATTTATCATTTCTGATTACAACTGTTATGGTTATAGACCAAGAATGCCCACAGTGAAGAAAAAAGAGGCAAAATTCTGAAGATCACACACACACACACACACACACACACACATACACACATTATTCCTAGTTATCCTATCATGAAGGAAATCTTATGTCAGCTTAGGATACATTTCATTTGATTATAACAGGAGTTTTTCTATGAAAATGTAACTGGAAAAATTTAATTTTTGCTAGGAAAATCACAGGGATTATCCCCATATAAGATTTTTCTTAATGGCTTTAAAGAAATCATCAATTCAGCATATAATAAATTATTCATCTCGAAAATAAAAGTGAAATTGGGTCATAATTAAGAATCTCCAGGTCCTTTGCCAAGAATATCCAGGAATTTTCCTTGTGTGATTTTTAATGTCCTCTCAGATGGGTGAACTGACACTCCCTGATGAATATGTAGTTCATTTATTTGTTTCACATTCTACCTTTATGTCTGGTTTAAAACTGAGCATCGGAGAGCTGCAGACATAGTGCACGGGTTTGGCTTCTGAAAGAATTGCTTTCTGAGTGCAGCACCTGAGTATTGAGGTGTGTGTCACACAGTCCTATAAGAAACAGTTGTATGAAACTCACTACTGTATTCATCGTAAGTTGTTGTCGAGGACGTTGTCCACTAACTCACATGGTGAGCCTCTTTATGAGGACCAACAGGAGACATTCCTCTCAGGTTTTAATGCCAGGAAAAGCTGAGCTTCTCCTGGGCGGTTGGAATGTCTCAAATTATGGACCCTGTATATTGTGTTTATATCATATTTTCTTCACTGCTTTGGTTTCTAGGAAGTTCAGAATTAAATTTGTGATTGTATTTTGTTAGTTGTGCATTCTTACCCGATAAACATTTCTTTATGCTGCCTCTATCCCAGATTGTTTTTTTTAACTATTGTCTACTTATACTTCTGTATTTCTTGATCACATTAACTATTTTTATACTAATATGCATTTTTGTTAATCACCTTAAATTATTTTCTTTGGAAAAGGATGGGTTAAAAATATCTTTTGCTTCCTTATTGGAGACCAGTTAACACATGTTTAAACTCAGTGATGACATGTTGCTATATGTATATAGATATGTATTATAATTGTTTGTTTTATTTGTAATTTATTAGCCTAAAACTATTTTCGAATCCTTATACCTAAGTACAGAAATACATGGAGACTAACAAATGTAGCAATAATGATATCCATTTGTAGTCCTTGTTGAAAGGTTACCCATAATCTATTTGGTTTCATTTCTTTGGATCTTGGTGTAGATTCTTTCAAACATTATAGTTGTGAGTATGTTACATTATTTAAAATTTTCGTATGTAACTATTTTCCTAAGCTATTTCCAAATGGCAAATAATGGAAAACATTATTTTTTTTTATATAGCCAGAATGAGAAGACTTTTTGTATTAAAAAAAAAAAAAACCCTCAGAAATTTGCTCACCTGTGATGGGTTCAACCCATTATGTAATTAGATTATTATATTTTCACTTCCTTCTACATAGAAATCTCCTTTTACAGGAAGTATAGCTTGATATGAAGTAATTTTGATATATTTCTCCCAATCTCACTTAAGGGAAAATAAAGTAATAAGTTAATTATTCTAAGAGGAAAGTGTATAGTTGAAGTTATATAATGTAGGTTTTCCTAAATTCAGTTTCTTTCTCTGTAATAAAATAAGTTTATGTTCATATTATATAACAGTAATTCTGTTTGCAATCTCCAGTGACATATTCACTGTCTCATGTATTATAATAAGTGACTAAATTATTCTGTTTGCAAAAGGAGATTTGCTACTTAAAACAATCTTCAAATTTCTCATAAAAATTATACATACAAAATGCATTATTTTAATATAATAAGTTTTATACTGAGACTAAGACAATATCTGTAGACAAAAATCTTCCAAAGTTTAGAAGAGGAAAAAATGTTTTAAAAATCAGTAGTGATGTCAAGGGGCGCCTGGGTGGCTCAGTCGTTGAGCGGCTGCCTTCGGCTCAGGTCATGATCTCAGGGTCCTGAGATTGAGTCCCACATCGGGCTCCCTGCTCAGCGGGAAGCCTGCTTCTCCCTCTCCCACTCCCCCTGCTTGTGTTCCCTCTCTCGCTGTGTCTATCTCTGTCAAATAAATAAAATCTTTAAAAAAAAAAAAAATCAGTAGTGATGTCAATTTATGAGAAGTAATGAAAATAATGTTCCTTATTTTTTGTGTGTGAAAAAAATGTTTTATCGTCCTTTACTTGTTAACCCTTTGTATTTATTTATTTATTTATTTATTTATTCATTTATTTATTTATTTTTTTTTCCTATAGGCACATTGGGAAGGTCTCACAGGCAGAATAACTTTCAACAAAACCAATGGCTTACGAACAGATTTTGATTTGGATGTGATCAGCCTCAAGGAAGAAGGTTTGGAAAAGGTACTTGAGTCATTCAACTTATTTACTTTAATTATTAAATGAAACAGATCCCAATGAAGAAATAAGGAAATATTCCCTCTTGTAGTCACATTTCATTAACATTTAACTTTATTGACTAACTCTTAAAATACATATTCAGTTCATTATATTGAATATAATAATTGAGGATTAGTATTCAAGCATAAAAAATGTCTTAAGACAATTAAATATTTTATTTTCTCACCAAATTTTTCTTATACTGTGAAATGCATATAATCTTTATTAGCCTTAAGATTTAATATAATAATTAAAAATATTTATACTTGTATTTGCATAGACTTTCCTATTTGGAGCAGGTCATAAAGATTAAATACAGAAGCATATTTCCATTGCTGGGCCATATTCAAATGAAATGTCTGACTTAATGTACACAAAGTAAATTAGGTAAGAACATAAATACATTACACTGGTCTATCTTATTTGATTCTATATCTAGGGTAAAGTCAGACAATGATTACAGAATTTGGGTATATGCTTACTTTAAAAATATTTTAGTGTAAGTTATTTAAATACAAATAATATAATATAAATATACATAATAATATAATAATATAAATATACATAATAATATAATAACATAATAATATAATAATAATATAAGTATAAATAATATATGCATTAATGTATTTTTCTGATAGACTCATTGAAAGTTTATTAAAAAGATATTTTGATAAGAACTTAAGAAAATAATTATATTTGACTGAGATAATATTGTTTTCAAGATAATGTGTCTTATATTTCATCTAGCTATTAAACATGAAGCATTACTTATAAATGGAAACTAAAGAAGGAAATTGAGTCAGAAGAAGGGGTCTTTTAACCTAAGAGACAGTAGCATATTTGAATGTTGATTCAAATGATTCTGGAGAGAGAAAACATACATTTTTGATAATGTTGCCAAGGTAGAGAGAAATACATCATGACCAACTGACGACTAAAGTTGACAGGAATATTACCTCCACCCACTGAGAGTTTTAGATGTACCCTTTAAAAGACCATGTAAAATAACAAACTGCAAACCAAATATGCATGCAGCAGTCACTTCCTAACTGCCTTTCTCCCATGATGAGAATATTATTCTATACCCAAGACTGGAATTGATAATGGTGTGGTTTAGTCAGCTCTTAATGGGTTTTATACCAGTATTTACCGGAGTTGTTATCTTATTTTCTTGGACGTTTACAAGTCACTAAGATGAGCTTTGGCCATTGTTTGTATTTCAATACATCAATAAAGAAATGGCAATGACTTTCTTGTTACTGTAGGCCCTGTAAAGGACACATTAGAGAAGCTTTCTCTAAGCAATAGTGGGGATTATAGAAAGACCCTGAATATAATGGTTACCAAGTACATGGGATGATCAACCAGACTGATAAGCAAGATACAATGTGAATTAGACACGTTGCCTTGAGATTTCAAAAATATTTTGTATATTCCTCTGGCATTTGAAATTTTGTTTTGATAAATTAATTACACACAATCTTTATCTTCAAGGGGCTTTTTATATAGAGTGATTAGATAACACACTTGAGAATAAATACAATGGAAAATTGTTTCAAGCTTTAAAAGAGTAATAAAAGAGTATTTCTGAAAAAGGATATAATTAAGTAAAGAGTCACGGCATATGAGGTACTTAGAACTAGCCTTTGAATAATGGAGAATTATTGATTGGTAGAGATTGAGTCATTGCAGAAAGAGGTAACAATATGGGGAAAGACATATCATCGTATTTTATTTGATCATTTTATACACACACACACACACACACACAAATATGCACATAGAAGTGGGAGATAGAGCATTTTAAAATGTTAGATTTAGGTCATAAAGTAAGCACCATGTTGAGATGTTTGTGATGTATTAGTATACAATATGAAATCAAAGAGAGAATAGCCTGGAGGTCTATGGGATGTGTGGAAATTTGGATTAATTTTAATATGGAGCCATGAATCTCAAACTATTCTGAGTAGAAGTGAGAGATGAATTAACAGTGACAGAGGCAGTAACTGAATCTTCAGCAGTGTTGTTAGTTCAAGGAATAGCAGAGCATTGGGATTATGCTTTTAAGGAGTAATGGAGGAACCAGGTGATAAAAGTAGGAGAATAAAGGCATCCGTCAAAGATTGATGAAGAAAATAGTGGGAAAATTATCATTAGAAAGAAATTGGAACAAATCTGAAGAGGCACATAAAGTACTGAGGTTGGGTGAAGGTAAGTTAGAGAGAGGGGGAATTAAAAGTTTGAATCAAATGCTTTCAGTATCTTCAAAAATTATTACATAAGGGGGCGCCTGATTGGCTCAGTCAGTTAAGCATCTGACTCTTGAATTCTGCTCAGGTCATGATCTCAGCATTGTGAGATCCAACCCTGCATGGGGTTCTGCGCTGGGCAGGGAGTCTACTTCAGATTCTCTCTCTCCCTCTTCCTCTGCACCTCCCCAACCCTCATCGCATGTGCTCTCTCTCTCAAAAAAAAAAAAAAATAGTACATAAGTCATCAGCTAAAAGAGGGTGGTTGGATTTAGTTTAGTCAGATCTTAAGAATAATGGGAATTTTTTGGCAATGCCATTGTGACAGACTTGGCTTTGAGTCGTAGGAATAAGGTGCTGCTAAGTAGCAAAAGGTACGCATTTTTGTAATCTAGTAGAATGGTTAAGAGATCCAGGTATGGATTAAGGCAGAATTGGGCTCAAATCTTTGCTCTGCCATTTACTAGTTATGGACAACTTTCTTAACCTCTCTAAAACACAGTGTCTTAACTGCATCAGGGGGTGATAGCAGTATCTAATTCATGAAGACTAATGAGTCTTGCCAACTTTACTTTTATTTTGTCCTCAAAAATATAGTTACCAAACCATAGCTGTAAAGACAGAGTTCCTACCTTGATAGAGTTCACAGTTTGGAAGGTTCAACAGATAGTGATCCAAGAGGCTTAAATTCCAATTCCAATTCTGTCACAAGTGTGTGAACTTCACCCTTCCACCCAAGTTCTCTGTGCCAAATTCCTCATCTCAAAAAATGTAGAGTGCAAAGGACTTCCCTCTGGGACAGGCAAAAGTGAGAATACCATGGCCTCTAAGAGAACCTGGAAATGCAATCTTTATAGGTGTCAAGGCTAAGAATTTAATTATCCTATTTTATCATGTATAGGTGAGGAAAATGGATAAAAAAATGTATAAAATGCTAGTTTTATCCATTACTTCTCCTCATGCCTACTGCCTTTTCCTAGCTTTATCTTGGTCATCTTTGTCCAGCACACTTCATTTATTCATTTGATCCTCTAACAAATATAGAGTGAACCTCTATTTTATGCCCTTATGAAGGTTATATCTTAGTGAAGGGAACCTGCCAATAATAAATGGACGCTCAAAGGTACAATATAGGGTTAGGCAGTAATAAGTGCTAAAAAGAAAGATGACTTGTTTATATGTTCAGGGAACTGAGTTTGGGGTTGAAATGAGACTATGAACACATCTTTTCCACTTAGCGCCCCGAGATCAGATTGAATCTTTTCCATTCTATCTTGACAAGAACCTTGGTTGGAACCCAGCCCACTTAGCGATTGTCCAAGAAGAGTCACTAATACTGCAGACGCAGCCAGTCACATCTGTCCAAACAAGCTCCCCAAGCCGTGACAGTGCCTTCTCTGGAGCAGAGGAGGAGGAATAAGGGGGTAGGAGGAAACTGCAGGTGCCATTCCAGATTTTGTCTACCTCTGGCAATAGGACAGTTTGTTTTCTTTAAGTCCTGGTGTTCAGTACCCAAGACTTGGAAAAGGAAAATAAGAATAAGTGGTTTTCCCAGCTTGAATTCTTCTGTTCAGTTCAAAGACCATATTGTGTATTCTACTTCCAAAAGTAGAATTAGATGGATCCTAAACACAAAATGTTTAGGATGCATCTATTTCTCTCCACATCCATTGTTGCAATCATAGCCAGGGTACCTTTCGCCTGGACATCTGTTTGTTGGAGCGCCAACAAACATCTCTGTTCTGTTCCCCCTTACAATTCATTCCCCAGATGACAGCAGCCAGACCAGTGTCTTTTAAAGCAAATCGATCCATGTCATTGCTCTGTTTAAGTCCTTTCACTTATTTCCACTGTATTTTGATTAAAATCCATATTTACAAATATGATTATTGCCTCCCTTCCCCCTCACCTCTCACTACCATCTCAGATGTTTTCTATGCTTTAATTACACTGGCTTTTGCTGCTCCTTTTTCCATAGACACAAAGTTTTCTCTCTTACTTTGGTAGTAGAGTTTTCCCAGCCTGGAAAACCCACCCCTAGCCCTTTGCCTGGCTAACTCTTACTCATCCCGGGGGGGTCACAGATTAAATCTTTCTTCCTTAGATAGGCATCACATAAGCCTGACCAAATTTAACTTTCTCATAGCGCCTTGTGCTTTTCCTTCCTGGCACTTATCACAATGTGTAATTATATATGCTCCCAGTCCCACTGTTTACATATTCAAGGCCTAGCAAAGTCTCAGGCACAAAGTATATCCTCAAGAAATATTTATTGACTAGCAAATGAAGGAAGGGTCACCGTAAGAATCATAAGAAATACTTCCCATATTCAAGTGTCTGGTGCAAATTTATTTTCCTATGGCACAGCATTTACTTTATTTTATTTTTTATTTTGTTCCCAGTTTGTCCCCTTACCTACACAGTGGGAACAGAGAAATCCAGTGCTTAGTCAATGAGCTGGGGTTGTGAGTCAAAGCTTCAAGGGGTACAGGATTTTAGAATGCCCAAGAAGGCAACACTGAAGTCTGAGCTTGCAAGGATGCACAATGCACCCTCCATAGTACAGTGTAATCCTGATACTCCAGTTCTGCCTCAAAGAGGAAAAATAATTCTTCTATTTATAAAAGTTCCGTTTTTTCATCATATAAGTTTATGGTACAGAAATAAACGAAGACCACTTAAATGAGAACACACAAGTTATTATTCAGAACT